TTAATTAAGTCACATATCTCTTGACTGTTCACTGTGAAGTTAATGCCATCTGTAGTAAGGACCAGAAAGCTATCACCTGCATGATGCAACTAGAATTGGGGACACAACATACATCATAAAAATCAATCTCTGCAAGGTAGAACACTGCTACATTTTATCTTATTACAATAGATCTTGTGTTGTATCCTCTTCCACTTCTGCATGGCCATCACCTAGAAGAACCCAAACTATAGAACTATGGTTAATGCACCAACACACTAATGATTCAATATGGTCATAATCAAAACATAAGGTAAATAAACTTGAAGGTGCTCCAGTTCACAGTAGTAACTCTTGACCCAAGCTACATAAACAGACCAAAAAGCCAAGCACATTAATATTACCCAGTAAACAAAAAAATCCTCAAGTTATTGTAGGTTTTAAAACCTGATAGGATCTTTATGATCACCTCTGTTCACTTTCTTGGATCTCCTACCTAATAGAGAAGTGTTTTCTAGCTCCTGCCCTCCCAACTCCTAAGTAGATCTACCTCAAATGTGCCTTTCCTCATGTCCTGGCTCTCTCACCATCTTGTGGGAAGATTAATTAGGTGGCAATGGAAAAATGGCAGGGCAGGGAAACTGTTTATTTTTGAGAATTTAACAAGTTTTCTTCATATGTTGAACCATCATGAAGCCCTAATAAAATGCACTCTCTTACACTCATGCTTACATGTACATGCATACATTTGCTGCTTTCCTATGTGATTTAAACTAATGACTGAGCGGTGTAAATTAGCATATTAATTCCCCCTGTTCAGATAACTTTTCTTCAATATGTAACTAGCTTCAACTTGAATTGCAGAGAATCTATTGAACACCCCATCCCATTCCCCTTTCCCCAAAATAAAACCTCATTATATTTAAGCAATGCTTGTCAAGTTTTATTTTGCTCCTCACATTAAGCCATGCTATTTAAGATAAACACTCCTCCATGTCAGCATTTATTATTGGTGCCAGACTACACTGTCACACTAGTGACACACTAGTCAGTCTGGAATGACTTCCAGGGAATTACTCCCAATTTACACTCTCATCGAGATATAAACTTGACTTCTGGATTCCAAGTGTGTTTCACTGCTGCACAACATGCTTTGTTCATCACATGATCCTACTGCTCAGTGTTAGGGTGACAATATTTGGATCTTGGGGAGCACTGGATTTGCAGCTGAATAAAGGCATGACCTGTGGCCTAGCAGAGCTGCTGACCACAAGGCAGAATGATAGCTAAGCCAACCAGTTGCTTATGTTAAGTAACCATCTTAACTGTGTCAACCATTTTCTGAGGAAAAAGCAGCGAGTCTGCATGCTGTGAATGAGGTGACGTTTTAGGAATGTGGAAGGTGGTGCAACCTGAGACAGAAAAACAGATTGGAATGTAGAAGATAACATGTAACTGAGATGAACATATGTGAAAAGGTGAATGGTGATTGGTGAAGCAGCCTCCAGGTTTTAATCAAAGTCCACCCATTGACTGAAGAAGAGAAGTCAAGGTCTTAGACATGCACTTATAACACAGAGGCATGTAAATGAGTAAAATGCATAGGTAATTCCATGCTAATGAAGCAAACAGTAAACAGGCAGAGCTTGTGATGGGAGGAGAAATGGATTGGAACAGAAGGAGGGACAGGGTGGAATAAATGGTAATGAGCATAAACCAAAGAGTATAAATGTGGGGAAAAAAAAAAATGTTGTTCCGTGCGGCTCCCTGGTTTGTTGGTTTTTTCGAAGCTAGTCCGAAGCTGTCTCCATTCTGAATAAAGCTGTTGCAAGCAATGTATGCTGGTGTTTGCTCCCTGCTTGGTCTGGCTAATGAGTAACAGGATCCATGGGCAATTGGATTGTTGTCTCCCTAGATGTTGGGCGCTGCATGGAGTTGGGTTCTAACACTCAGGTTTCCCATTAACCATATTGTTAATTTCCCTGTTAACCACAGCTTTTACCTGAATCCTCTTAGTTTCTGGCTGTGCTATCACTCCACTGCTCTTCATATCCAGGTCCCCTATACTACGTGTCATTGCAAGCCTCCCATTCACGTGGGGTTGTCCCAAACTATTCCAGGCTATGAAGCCACCACATTTCTTTATCCTGTACAAAACACAAGAGAGAGGAAGGTCAGTGTGAACCAGGTTCAAACCATCATGGCCTTCAGGTATGCATTTTCTCCCCAACTGCTTGTGTCTCTAGACAGGGGAGTACATTCCCACCTCAAAAGCGTCACAGGGATTTGTGTTCAGGCAGGCTTTTCAAGCTGTGTAGTGCTATAACCCAGACCCTGTGAACTGACCTCATTCCCAGAGGTGACGCGTAGGGGGTACACTTTCGGCAGCACCTGTGGGCAGTTGCCGTTCACCACCCCACTGCCAGCATGGCGTCTGTGGGCGGTCCATGATCACCCCTGGCTGCCACCAGCGCTTGTGGGTGGTTACCACCACCCCCCTACCCAGCCCCTGCTGACAGTGCCAGCGGCATCTGCGAGAGCTTCCTGTTCACCACCACCAGCACAGTCGTGCCCCACCAGCCGCTGGGGGCACACGCCATTCATGCTCGTTCCATTGACTCTACCAGAGCTGCAGGACAGTGTAAACAGAGTTTGACCTGGGCTACCCCACAAAGTTATTAGCACAACTAAGATATACCTTTCCTTCTCATCCTTCCTTTCTGGAGTATGGTCAATGGTGAGCTTCACAGCCTTTCCCTTTCGACACAAGAGTGCCCGACTGTCTCCAACACTGGCCACAACCAGTTCAATACCATCTCGCAGTAGGGCCACTGTTGCAGTGGTCCCAGCGTTCAGCAAGGTTGCTATAAACATCACATAAAGAAAAAGGGAATTAAAGAGGTCTGGAAGTTTTGCCGATGTGTTTATAACAGAACTGTCAAAAATACATGTGATCTAATATATTGGCGAGTCACCTGATTTAAGTTTAAACTAAAGCTATGGAAATATTGTACAGCAAACAGAAACATGCATGTAGTGGGGCAGGGGAAAAGGCATTTTTGGTAACAACATGGCTCCATGCAAGTAAGTGTCAGGAAAGAATGGCTCCTCCTTAGCTATGAAGCAAAGAGATTATCTGTGCTTGGTTTAAAATATTGGGATATTGCCCCCTAGCTGCAGCACACAGGGACATCAGTAAGGATAAACCCCACTGCAAGTATAAAGGGCCCCTCCTCCTGTAGGTCAAGGGGGTGTTTCAACAATGCTATTAAATAGTTTTGGTGCCTGCTCCAAAAAAAGAAATCCTTTACATCCCTCTACTCCCCTGCTCCAGCACCTTCAGATGCCAGATATGTGTAAGTGTCAGATATTTTAGTCCTGATTCAGCTTTGCCTCATGCCCTGTGTGGTAATCCATACTAGTACAATGCAGCAGGAAATGCTACTAATCAGTCTGTCACCTGCATTGCTGGTAGCACTGAATACAGATGTAAGTTAATGATATCATGTGCAGTAGAGTACTAGGCAGGCCTTCCACTGTCCTCTTCCCCCTCCCCTTCACCATTGGGCAACACAGTCCCTTTTTTGTTTTTGGAACCAAAAAGGATTAACTAATACAACTGTACTTAGGGAGTCTGGATTCTAGTTTCAGTCCACCTTTGTGCTTTTATGTACCAAGGAAAGTCCTTTTTTGAAGATCTGAATGAATTGCTCTGACACCAGTTCAAGCAGAGGCTGTCTAAGCACCAATGGTGTAACTACCCAAAGTGAAAGGAACAGATTTTTACTGCTAACACACACACTGTTCCCACAGTGCCTGCAACTACCAGTGAGAGCTGCTTAGCATGCTACAAGCAATGGCAGAGGAAAGCCTGTGTAGGAAGAGAGCCTGGAGTGTAGAACAGATGTTAATTTGGTTGAGAGCCTCCCTAGGGACCTTGCTATATTCTGGGTTTTTTCTCCAGTAGTTAGTCTTTAAAATCAGGAAACATTTCCGCAGTTGGTTTTGGTTCAAGCTGAAAGCCAGAATCCCCAAGTATATTCCTCTTTCCAAATTCATAGATTTCATAGACATCAGGGCTGGAAGGGACCTCGGAAGATCATCGAGTCCAGCCCCCCGCCCAAAGGGCAGGAAGTCAGCTGGGGTCATAGGATCCCAGCAAGATAAGCATCCAGTTTCATCTTGAGGGTGTTCAATGAAGGCGCTTGAACCACCTCTGGTGGCAGGCTGTTCCAGACCTTGGGGGCTCGGACAGTAAAGAAATTCTTCCTAATGTCCAGCCTGAAATGATCTTGAAGTAGTTTGTGACCATTCGACCTCATCATCCCTTGGGCCGCTCTGGTGAACAGACGTTCCCCCAGATGCTGGTGGTCACCCCTGATAAACTTGTAGGTGGCCATCAGATCACCCCTGAGCCTGCACTTTTTCAGGCTAAAGAGCCCCAGGGCTCTCAGCCTGTCATCGTAGGGTCTGCTTCCCTGACCTCTGATCATGCGCGTGGCTCTTCTCTGGACTCTCTCAAGCTTCTCCACATCCTTTTTGAATTGTGGAGCCCAAAACTGGACACAGTACTCCAGTTTTGCCTCATGCAAATTAGAAGTAAATAAATGGGTTTTCTGCAACTACCACCTCCTCTTATAAAAATATGGACCCGAATCTTGACTGTGCCTGTTTTCTCTTCCAGCACAACCTGAGGACTTCTCCAGTGAGTCAGAGAAAGGGGAGGGGACCTGCAAGGAGCTAACAATGCCAGCTTTTTGCCACTCAGGGGTTTTATCGTGCTGGGACAGCCCCATTTACCCAGTTGGGGCATAAGACGTGACCAAAGGGATCATGTTAGTGGCTAGTATCTGGCCCTGCTGTTTTGTTAATAGTTGATCCACCAAATCACTCTGGATCTGATTATTACAGTTCCGGTTGCCAACTGGGAGCTGCAGATGTACAACAGGCACCAGAATCAATTGCTACAGTCTGCTTCTCAGAGGTGCTGAGCACTTGGAGGTCTTAACAACAACACCCGCTAAGCTGGTGGCTGTTTAGCACCCCTGAAAACCAGGCTTGTGAAGAGCTTGGGAGGAGCCAGACAAAGCTTTAAAGATGCATTGAGCCTTGTTGTGAAATGAAAATAATGGAAGTTTATGATTTAAAATAAAGAAAACCACAAAAACAAAAAAAAAAAACCCTTCTAAACTAAACCTTTTCTATTTAAAACAGGCATTATTACTGTGATGACATCTTTTGGCTCAATAAGCCTTTAGTGACTTAAAGGTAGGGGTCTACCGAACTCCAATGAGACAGCCAGCCGATTTCACGGATGGATCCGGGGGCCGGCCACCATTTCTGCGGGCTGAGTGCAGCAGGGTCACCCGATGCCTCTGATTGCCACATAGCCTGAAACCACAGCTTAATCAGCGTAATTAAGCCCAAGGAAGCTATTAATCCATGTGTTTTAAACATGGATTAATGACTTCCCCAGGCTTAATCAGGGTAATTAAGCTGTGTTTTCAGGCCATCCCCCAGTGGCAGGCTCTGTGATTTTGGCAGGCTCACTAAAAAAAACTCAAAAAGATTTCCCCCCCCCCCACCCCCAACTTACCAGCAATCAAAGAAAAAGGCAAGAAGCCATGTAGTCTTGGAGCATGGTAGGGAGCAAGTGGAGGGGGGATGAGGACAGGGCTGCTCTCAGCAGGAGGGCATGGAGGCTGCAGGCCATAGCTGCCTGCAGCCTTCGCACCTCCTGCTGCAAGCAGACCTGCCTGCACACCCCCTGCCCCCGGCTGCAGGGCTTCCAACCCTTTTCTCTGCTTGCCAGGTTTATTTTTGGGGGGTGGGGGGTGTTTTGGTTTTTTTCGCTGCAAGCCTGCCAAAACCACAGAGCCTGCCATTTTTCACAGATCCTGCCTGGATTCACATTTTCCACTTAAATTACGCAATTGCGAATTCAGTAATTCCCTACTTATAGGCTTCAGCAGTGTTAGTCACTCAATTCTCAATCAACTCCAGCCTCATTTACATTGGGCCTCTGGTTAATGTTGTGCTTGAGGCACAAATGATGCAAAACCCCAATTTTTCCTTCCTCACACCCAACCAGTAATTCACCTGTAGCATTTGGCTTTTTAGCAAAGCATTTCCAGCTTCTATTTTGTTCCAGACTAAGCACGGATTAGTGTGGTTCAGCCTTGCATTAAAACATGCTACAAAGCTACTAAAATGTAGCACCACAATTAGAAATCTTAGCACAGCCAGTAAAATACCTGTTTTAACTAGACAGTTAAACCAAGTGAAATGAAAAAGCCTAAATAAAGCTACTTGTAATTCAAGATATGCATGTTTAACTAAGGAATTAAAATGAATGAGGAGCTGTCATAAGCCTCTCAGTTCATTCCTTGCTTTTGGAACTGTATTGCCAAATATCAGTCTGTGAACAAGTTACAGAGCAGAAGCCACAGACTAAAGCGGGATGAATAATTTCCAAATTCCTCTACAACTTTTTAAAGGTGAAGGCAGACTTGAATTTTTAAAGTGCAATAACACATGACCCAAATATTTGAAGTCAAAGCAGCTGCCATCACCAATTCCATGGATGGCCCTGAGAAGCCAGTTATACAAGCTGTATGGGTTGAAGTAGCTACTATAGCAATAGGCCCCCTTTACAAATGTTGGCAGCCAGAAAAAAAGCTGAACATCATCATTTAGAAAAATGTGTGGTTTATGCTCCCCTCCCTGGGATCGATTTGGATCTAATGAACCACTCATGAAGCAAGGCAGTAATCAGTTGGGAAGGAGGAGTAATGTGGCCCTTCCTGTATAAAAGATGCTTCATATTATTTCAGTGACGGGCACAGTTCCAAAATTTAGAAATGATGAATTCATTAAATTTCTACTGCTTTATTATTCTTGCTTCAGATCTAATTAGCAAGATAAGATGCTATTGCATCTGTACATATTTGGCTTCAACATTTAAAAATAAAAACTTTTTTCATTTTTTTTCCTAACAATATCACTATAAAACTAAGATCGTTCAATAGGTTCTTAACACTCACTGGACAATTTTTACTGCAAGTCATCTCAACTAATGTGACAAAGAGGATGAGGGAACCTTCCAGTAGTCCAGGCTAGGAACCGCCGGACTCCTTCACCTGGGACAAAATTAAGCAGATCTCTCTTTCCACTGAAGCCCAGCATACAGTGTCCAGGGCCTCCAGTTCTAGAGCTGCTGACCCGGTACAGTGTCTGCCATAAATAACACGTACACAGAGGCAAATAGGAAATTCACCCAGGGATTTTGTTCAAACAAAACCAACTTACAACACTGGGGGTGACAGAGTAAGAGCTGCAAAACACAGGGAAGTTTTCACTTTGGTTTTGCCTGTTCTGCTTTTTCACTTGGGGCATGCTAGAATAGAAAAGTCCTGTGATAATGAATCATGTCCAATTTAACCTGGCTCAGTCACGTTAAATCTATACACATCTGTGGTCTCATATGTTTCCAATTTGTTTTGCTCAGGTATTTCCCCCCCAACCCTACAACTTCACTACATCTCTGTTATAGCTTCAACCCTGTAGCAAGTTTTCTTGACCAAAGAGAAATCATTGGCAAATGCCCAGCCATCTTATATGGGTAAGCCAGAGAATCTGACATAACTTTTAACTACAGTATATGGATCAATTTAGAGAGCTTGTTTCTAAAACAAAAAGGCTCAGAGTAACTGCCAACTAAACACAGGCAATTTTAAAGCCACTGGATAGAGATTCCATGGCTCATTGTGACCCACAGATAAATAGACATGCATAAATACACAGAGGAGAATATTTGTATTGGGTATCTTCTTAATGGGATTTTACAAAAAAGCAAATGTTTTAT